CATTGTTGGTTTACATTTGTTATCTTTGTTCAATGCTTACAAGGCTTGAAATTCCTAGTTGTGACAAACATAATTGTATGAATCATCATTTTCTTCTTTTGAATAAAACATATGGAAGTAAAAGAGTGTTTCTCCATTCACTAAAAGCTTTGAGCCATTTTGAGGAGACCAGGTGGTTTTTCGACCAAGAAACTATTTCATTCAGAATTTTTAATGATATAATGTTGCAATTAACCATGCTAGTATGTGCCAGACCATTTTATAACCAAAGATACAATCCAAGATGGTCATTATGTAGTTGTCATTCAATGTGTTACTATCAGACAAATCATAAATAAAGGAAATCAGCTAATAGTAGGCGCATGGTTGTGGTTAATAATGGGTTATGAGCATAACTACATCCTATGTGATCATGCAACCCTAATTGCTTTGGATCTAAATATTTCACTAGTTGAATATGCAATTGAATACAAAAGCAATAAAACCTAGATCTGGCATACAATTTTAAAAATTATATATCAAAAAGGGTTTTAATGATTACCTTTCTAGTTATGTAGTAATAACTGGAATTCCTTGTAGATCCTTGACTCTTGAAAGCTTAGTGCCTTAAATGTTACAAACACCACTAGCAAGAAAATGAGAAGGAGAAATGAGGAAGCTATTAGAATTTCGGATAGGGTTTCTTCTTAGCAAGCATTGGCCGAAAATCCTAAGCCTTGGGGTTCTTTATATAGCTGAGGGCTGCTAGGGTTTCTAGAGGAAACCCTAATTTCCTACTTAAGGCTCAAGCAGCCCATAGACCTCCTACTAAGAAGCCTTGGACGAAATCTATAAGGTCTCCCTATAGATTTTCATCTACTCCTAATTAAGGAGTCCATCAGTCCAGTTTCATAACTATCAATGAATCGCAAAACAACCCCTGTTCTTTTAATCAATTCCTTTAATCCTAAAATCAATTCCAAATTTATATCTGATTAAATACTAATTAAATAATATGATTTATAATTAATATATTATATTCATAATAAATTAATAAATCAATTTATTATTCCAAATAATACATTCAATCTCTCTCTCCAAAAGTCATCCTGTCAAGTTGCTATGATGAAGGCAACCCAAAAGGACCATGCTACTATCAAATTAAGTACATACTAATTATAGTTATGGGCTTAGACACCTAATCCAATAGTCTCCCACTTGAATAAATTTAATAACTATAATTGGAAGTATGACTTCAAAATTTGACCACCAGTCGTAGCTTTCAAAAGCTGTTGTCGAACTCTGATCCAGTTGTAGCTTTCAAAATTTGAGTCTACTTTGTCCCTAATTTTTTTCCCTTTTCCTGATATGAGACTTAAATAAGGTAAAGATTATTGTTTTTACTGACTGATCCGAAAATGGATTGCAATGATATGCAGTTTTGCAAAAATCATAGTAAATTCTCTAAAGATCGTATGAATGTGTGCGAGTAGTCCATGAAAATGTATCGATCTGAACTACTTTTAAACAGAACAGTTTTGCAAACCATATGGTTTAAGATAGGAAAAACAACTCTTAAACACACCATATTTTTTAACTTAAATTGATAACATTTTGTAGTATGTTTTCAATAGTGTTTTTGCATAAATGAAATATGTGTGCACATATACCCCCCCCCCCAAGATATGTAAAAATAAGGATCGTAAATACTTGCCTTTTGAAGCGTGAACTCAGTTTAGATAAGATTATGGTTTGTTTAACGGGAAGCACCACGAGAAACACGAACTAGCAATGATCCAACATCGGGGCTGCTTTGAACTTGAAATAAACTCCACAAAACAATACGAACTAGCCTAGTTCATGGAAACAAAACAAAAGTAGAAGCAAAGCAAAGTGGCATAATGGTGGTGTTGGTTGGTCGTCGAAAATGGGAGGAACAAGGGAAGAGGGTGGCTGGTGGCGGTTTTACGGTGGTGATGTGGTGCTCTAGTGAGGGGTTTTCTAGCCAAGAAAAGAAGGAAATAAAGAGGGGAAGGTGAGGGAGGAGTGAAGGATGGTGAGTTGTGAAGAAATAAGGATCAAAGACCCTCTATTTATAGTGTGATCTTACCTCTCATGTCCATTTTAGAACTATTCCTTGAAAACTAGTCAAACACCTAACATACTATACTTGTACTATGAGAAGGAGTGCACACAAAGGAAGAAAGAGGGTGATAGGGGTAGGGAGTCATGTGGGCAAGGAGTTTAAGAGAGGTAAGAGTTGATTTCTTTAATGTATGTAATCCTTGTAGGGCCATGGTGATGTCACACTTTTTTAAAAAGTCTCAAAAACCATTCTAGTTTTGTCTATCGAAATCCCGACATCTATTTTTATCGAAAGTGTTGTATGATAGAGTAGAGTTCAAGGATTCCAACCCAAACGGATTAATTTTTTGAGTTGTAGAACTCTAGAAAATCGGGTTTAAACTTTCACGTCCAAATGACCCGAAACATCCGATTTTTCGACTTTGCAAATATTTTTGCTAAAAAATATTTCGAGTATGAAAATAAATATTAGACCATAGTCTGAGTGCCAAAACGCTCTCGAAATTCTCATATGAGGTGTGCAAGTGTCTCAACGAATCGATTCGGTTTTAGCAATTTTACTTGTTTGCTTTCTTATAACGGTCATACTTTTTGCATACGAACTTCATTTTGGACGTTCTTTATATATTTGGGAACAGGGGAACATGTATCATGAGACTAGGATGTTTGCTTCGCTGGCAACTTTATATAGTTGTAATGCCACTATATCTTACTCCCAATTTCAGTTTTTTCAGATTTATTAACTAAGGTTGCAGTTTGAACTGTTTGATTTCTTTGAGATTTCCCATAATTGGGAGTAAGATACCATCTGGTATCGTATAATAGTTGTAATGCCACTATATATTTTTCAAAATATGCATTAAAGCTAAATAGATCAAATTAAGAAGAGGTTCGTAGTGAACAAACTGTCTACAATTTTATATATAAATTTCGGGATGTCACAATTTTCTATAGCAATCCCACTGTCATCTATAATATTCATATATTCTTATAAAAATAAATACATTTGTTTAATTTGTTAAAAACATCTTCAATAATAATAGTTAATTATAAAGTTGTTTAAATAGCCTTTCATATCTTGCATAGATGATCAAGGTCAACATATTTTCAAAATGGACTTGGTTCCCAAGATCATCTAATCCCATACTCTGCGCTAGAGCAGCTACAGAGAAATATCATTAGATTTTGGTATGTTGATAGTGGCTGTTCCAAGCACACGATATGTGACATCTCTCATCTGTACAACATTGAAAATTTTAGTTAAGGGTATGTGTCCTTTGTGCGAAAGGAAGAAAGAAAGGATCATCAATGGGGATTGTATTTAATGACGTGTTGAATATGTTAACTTTGTTCTGGAATTGAAACACAACTGAGTCTAAATGTGTTTTGAGCTGACTTTCAAGATTTGGTTGAATTGGTAAGTAAATAGCTCATTTTCATGTGTATACACAAGCAATGAAGATTAAAACAAATACACTTCTGAAAAAAAAAAAGTGATCTAAAAATGACAAATCCTAATTCATATATATACATAAATTAAAAACAAACCACCCTAACCTATAATTTATTATGAGCCTATCCTATATAAACATAAGATTAAAACAACAATGACAAAAAAACAATGACCAACAAACAAAACAATGGACTGATTGTAGAAATGCTTATATCAAATTTTCAGAACTTCAAAAAATATCAGAAAAAAAAAACATAAAAACGCAGACTTATATCAATAAATCATATATCAGAATTTCGGAAAAGGGCATTGCATCAGTCCTTGAAAAATAGAAATATCAAAATAACTTTCAGTCATGTGATTTTTAATGTTGTTTAGAAGAAAGGAATTAGAAAAACCTCAACCTTGCCTCTTTGTATGAAAGGAAGAATTAGAAATCAACATGTTTTTGTAGAAGAAAATAATCAGTCATGGACTCTTTGATTCTAAAAGATAGAGCTAGAAATACTTAAATACCTCAGTCTCTCCGACTCCTCGTAGCTCTCACAGTCTCTTCATCTTCGACATGATTTTTTCACAAATTGAGAATTGCCGCCCATTTCATTCACATTTCAACATCCCTTCGGTCGTTCCCTTACCTTGCCCATACAAGTTGGACATGATTTGATGCCCCTTGCTATATTGGTGCCCTGGGTGACGGCCCAACTCGCCTTGGGCCTTGCCTGCTGTCATCCATGCCTCTTATCCCCATCTTCTCCAACGGAGCACCTATTTCGATTTGTGATATCGTAATAGAAGCGATAAATATACTTCGTTCGTTCTATACATGAGACATCAAAAATGAGTTCTCCAAATGTTGATTGGTTTTTGGATTGATTCAATCATCTCGTCTTCTTTATCTAGTCTTGAAATCCTTCATCTATGTTCGATAGTAAGGGAAAGATTCGAAATGTTTTTAAGGATGATTTCGATCCTCTCATATAAGGATGATTTGATGTTGCATGCCTACCAACAATCTAATTTTCCAAATTGAAGGTTTAATTTGAAGATAACATTGGTATAGTATTTAGGTCTAAACAGATGTTTCAAGTTTGATTTTAAATTAACATGGATAGAGAACACATGCTTTGGAAATCTTTTAAATAGGTTAATAGGGGTTTGATTTTAAATTAACATGGATAGAGAACACATGCTTTGGAAATCTTTTAAATAGGTTAATAGGGGTGTGAACAATCTTATAATTCCAATAAAGACCAAGCACGTAATAAAAATATAATTAAAAAAAATTATGAACAAAACACACACACTACCCAAGTTATAGAAGCTATTCGAATAATTTACTCTAAAGATTATCATTATGAACTACGTCTTAAATAAAAAAAAATTGAGTTAAAAATATTATATTGGTTTGTAATAATTTTAAAAATGTACTTCATCACCAAGGAACCTTCAAAATAAATAATTAGAGCCGAATAGTCGGATACTGATCTCCGAGTTAACTCGCTGTCCATATCTCGCCACGTGGAGAACATAGTCTAACTCAGCACGTTTCAACACATCACTCATTATTAACCGTCAACTGCACACAAAACATGTACTCCGACGACGGTGTGCGGTGGCCACCAACACCGTTTCATCCATGGCGACTCGACTCCATAAGGGGATAACCATCGCATCTTCTTCTTCACCACTCTCTATTTCCAAACATATACTAAACGAAGCCTCTCTGATTGCCATCCTTTGTCCTACCTTCTCCAAGGTCAGGTGCGCTTCGTCTTCGTCAGATGGCACGTCCGCGACAGCCGGAAAGCCCAAGAAGAAGACGCAGGACCGTCTCTCCGGCGTAATAGACGCTGTTAATGACCGGAAACTCCCTCCTGAACTCCGTGGCCAACGCAACAATATTAGGTATCACCGTATCATCATCCCCTCTCTTCTGAAATCGTGAATTATCCTCTTCTTCTCAACTTTTCAGACCCAATTACTCGAAATCCGATTAACGTTCAATCAGTAAATCATTCAATTAGGGAATCCTTGTTTCAAACTAGGGTTTCAATTTCAAATCCCTAAATTTCCTCTCTGATTATCAGGTCAGAAACCGATATTATCAATGTCGTCGAGCAAAGGATTTGGCATTCAATGGAGGAGGGCCAGTTCGAGAACTTACCAGGGAAGGGTAAACCGTTAAACCTGAATAGCAATCCTCACGCCGATCCAGCTGATGACACATTGTATAGGATACTATCGAGGAACAAATGTGCACCGGAGTGGGTTGAACTCAACAAAGAAATCAGAATCGGAGTTGCTGAATGGCGATTAAGCTTGAAGAAAGCATGGGTTCGTAAGGAAAGTGGAGATAATTCCAAATGGGATGAAAATTCAGATTCTTTGAAACTTCAGCTTCGCAGCATCAATGATAAGGTCAGTGATGATTGATCGATGAACCCTTGTTTGCTTAATTTTCTGATTTGTAAGCCGATTTTGCAGACTTTAGGCCGATTTTTAAACCATTTAACCTATGTAACCCATTATTAGGCGTTATCTATAATATATAGGGCTAAATTTAAGAAATAGCAACTTACTTATTTGTTTGTTATAGAGTAAATTACATGAATGGTCCCTATGGTTTGGGGTAATTCGCACGTTTGATCCCTAACTTATTTTTTTAACTCGGAAGGTCCCTACAATTTGTTTTTGTTGGACGTTTGGTCTCTGTCTTACCTAAAAAGACTATTTTGCCATTGATTTTTTAATTTATTTAAATAAACATACCCTCAACCGCCCTTCCACCTCATCTTACCTTACTTACCCCACTTTATTTAACCATACTTTAGTTAAATAAAGTAAAAAATCAAGGGCAAAACAGTCTTTTATGGTAAGACAGTAACCAAACGCTCAACAAAAACAAACTATAAGGACCTTCTGAGTTAAAAAAATAAGTTAGGGACCAACGTGCAAATTACCTCGAACCATACGGACCATTTGTTTAATTTACTCTCTATTATATAATCTTACATTCATTTCTTCCTATTATAGTAAAAATCTATTTATAATATAGCAATGTCATGTAAATAAAAAAAAAACTAATTTTTACCGCTGAAATTTGGTTGATTTTTCTTAGTAATTTCTCCTATTAAAAAAGGTTGAAAGTACAATACTATAATTGAGTTGATTTTTAGTAAGAAAAAATTGAATGTCCAAATGTTGTAATTAAATGGGAAGAAATGAAACTAAGATGTTATAATAATAAAAAAAAATAAGGAAAGTACATTATTTACTTTATGCTATAAAAAGAAATCAATGAAAGTACATTGCTATTTTTTGTCAGGTCTTCAGGTATAACCTAATTGTCCCGTTTGGACGCCAGATGTCCGGGTTTAAATGGGAGAAAGAAATCACTCGCCTCAATGAAGTAGAACAACCAAGTTCATGAACAAACAAGAATGCTTTTGTTGCCTTCATTTTTTACTTTCTAGAACTATTTGCATCACTTTTTTGTAATCATACATAGAAGTATACAACACATATTAATCATGGTTATGTATAAGTTAAATTATAGTGAGAATCATCATTTATTATTTATATTATTATAATTGGCATTTTATACAACTACATAAGGGAAGGTAGATGTCTGATTGCACCGATAATGACCCATCCCTCCTCAAGGCCATTGTGAGGGTACTTATACTTGTAACATAAAAAGACTAAATTACCCTCCAAATTGTGACTTTACTTCAATGACAGGAGAAAAGAGCTGGTTCAAAGCTGAAGAGTCGTATTTTATTTTTATTATTTCTATTTCATTAATTCAATTATTAAAAAGTGTAAATCGTCCTTGGAAGAGATCGATGACACTAAGAAAGGTAGAAATGGAAGTAGACAAGGTGTTGACATGAATTCAATTCGATTCCTCTGTATATTTCTGTTTTGTTTGTAAATCTTTTCAAAGAATTTAGAATGTAAACAATGACAAGTGACATTTAATTTCTTGCTCACCATAACTTTAATTAAATACTTGTAAATTATTTTTTATCCCTTTTTTAGAAATTGTTTTTAGGTAAAAAAAGTAGTGTATACGTATCAGCAACCTAAATTTATACACTCATGACATCAAGTTTTGAATCAAGTACTAAATTTCAAAATTCTATACTAAAAGGGTTGAATGCAAGAAATATCAACATGTTCCTTTTATCTTATTATCTTATTACAGGCATTGTATGTTAAAAAATCTATCTAATTATAGATTGTCATCCAATTACAGATTAACTTCCATTGCTCTAGTTAGGTAAAATTTCTGAAGTGAAATGCCATGCAACGTCTCAACGTAATTTAGAACTTTTTATAAAAATTTAATATATTATTGTAAAATATAATGTCTTATATGTTCCTTTATGTATAATTTACATAATAGATTAATAAGTTGTAAAGTTTATTAATACGTTTTGTTCGTGTTACAGAGGGTTCTATGAATGATACATGTATTAAGAATATATGGTGAAATTTATTTATTTGTTAAAGTATGTACTATGTAGAATAGATATTTTCTGAAAGAACAAAATCATTACAAATACGATAGCGTCGGCACAAACTAAAAGAATAGTAAGAGAGAAATAAGAGACACTGGGTAGGGGTGAGCACAGTGCGGTTTTTAGACCAAACCGAACCGCAAACCGCAAGTTGCAGTATTTTGGTGTGGTTTTGCATGCGGTTTTTCAGTTATTTTGGTGTGGTTTCGGTTTTTAACCGAAAAATAAGTTGGTACAATTATACGGTTAAAATTGTATGGTTTGTCGGTTTTGTTATCTGGTTTTTGAAAATTAATAAAACTTACTCAAAACAAGTTCTATAACAAACTAAGTCAGCAATTTAAAATGAACCGGACATAAAATAAACTAAACTATTTTTGGCCAAGAAGCCAATCTAGCTCAGCACCAAAAAAGGAAGTAAGCTCTAACCTACCACAAAAACAAGACGTTGCGAACTCTTTGTCTTTGGTTCAACCGCCTCACAACTTGCTTTTTATAGAGGAGAGAGGCCTCTAATATATGGTGAAATTTATTTATTTGTTAAAGTATGTACTATGTAGAATAGATATTTTCTGAAAGAACAAAATCATTACAAATACGATTAACATCGGAACAAACTAAAAGAACAGTAAGAGAGAAATAAGAGACATAGGTCCATTAACTTGTTTCATATATCCATCTGGGTAGGCATGAGCACAGTATGATTTTTGGATCAAACCGAACCACAAACCGCAAGTTGCGGTATTTTATAGGGAAAAACCTATAGGTGCAGTTTTAATTCGGTGTGGTTTTGCATGCGGTTTTTCAGTTATTTTGGTGTGGTTTCGGTTTTTAACCGAAAAATAAGTTGGTACAATTATACGGTTAAAATTGTATGGTTTGTCGGTTTTGTTATCTGGTTTTTGAAAATTAATAAAACTTACTCAAAACAAGTTCTATAACAAACTAAGTCAGCAATTTAAAATGAACCGGACATAAAATAAACTAAACTATTTTTGGCCAAGAAGCCAATCTAGCTCAGCACCAAAAAAGGAAGTAAGCTCTAACCTACCACAAAAACAAGACGTTGCGAACTCTTTGTCTTTGGTTCAACCGCCTCACAACTTGCTTTTTATAGAGGAGAGAGGCCTCTAATATATGGTGAAATTTATTTATTTGTTAAAGTATGTACTATGTAGAATAGATATTTTCTGAAAGAACAAAATCATTACAAATACGATTAACATCGGAACAAACTAAAAGAACAGTAAGAGAGAAATAAGAGACATAGGTCCATTAACTTGTTTCATATATCCATCTGGGTAGGCATGAGCACAGTATGATTTTTGGATCAAACCGAACCACAAACCGCAAGTTGCGGTATTTTATAGGGAAAAACCTATAGGTGCAGTTTTAATTCGGTGTGGTTTTGCATGCGGTTTTTCAGTTATTTTGGTGTGGTTTCGTTTTTTAACTGAAAAATAAGTTGGTACAGTAATACGGTTAAAATTGTATGGTTTGTCGGTTTTGTTATCTGGCTTTTGAAAATTAATAAAACTTACTCGAAACAAGTTCCATATCAAACTAAGTCAGCAATTTAAAATGAACCGGACATTAAATAAACTAAACTATTTTTGGCCAAGAAGCAAATCTAGCTCAGCACCGAAAAATCAGGCACCAAAAAAGGAAGTAACCTCTAACCTACCACAAATACAAGGCGTTGCGAACTCTTTGTCTTTGGTTCAACCGCCTCAACTGCTTTTTATAGAGGAGAGATGCCTCTAATATATGGTGAAATTTATTTATTTGTTAAAGTATGTACTATGTAGAATAGATATTTTCTGAAAGAACAAAATCATTACAAATACGTTAACATCGGAACAAACTAAAAGAACAGTACGAGAGAAATAAGAGTTACCGGTCCATTAACTGGTTTCATATATCCATCTGGGTAGGCGTGAGCACGGTACGATTTTTGGATCAAACCGAACCACAACCGTAAGTTGCAGTATTTTATAGGGAAAAACCTATAGGTGCGGTTTTAATTCGGTGTGGTTTTGCATGCGTTTTTTCAGTTATTTTGGTGTGGTTTCGTTTTTTAACCGAAAAATAAGTTGGTACAGTAATACGGTTAAAATTGTATGGTTTGTCGGTTTTGTTATCTGGCTTTTGAAAATCAATAAAACTTACTCAAAACAAGTTCCATATCAAACTAAGTCAGCAATTTAAAATGAACCGGGCATAAAATAAACAAAACTATTTTTGGCCAAGAAGCCAATCTAGCTCAGCACCAAAAAAATCAAGCACCAAAAAAGGAAGTAAGCTCTAACCTACCACAAATACAAGGCGTTGCGAACTCTTTGTCTTTGTTTCAACCGCCTCACAACTTCTTTTTATAGAGGAGAGATGCCTCCAATTTTCTTCCCAACACCGATGTGGGATGAGTTATTGTAACGTCCGTGTTTCTAGGCTAGACATTAATATTGATGTAATAATCTAGGTTAACCTTTGTATCATGTTTTGAAATAATAATAAATGTATTATTTGAGTTTTATATGTTTTATGCTTAATTGTTGTGACTTAATTGAACTAAGGATAAAATAAGAGTTAAAAATAAAATATTAGAGAAGCCCAATATCTATATATAAAGACGTAGTGGTAATGATGAGGATTCCGAATATATAAAGAATGCCGAAATCCGAGTTATAACAAAGAAGTTATGACTTGTCGAAGTTTCGCAACACAACCGGTATGACACTGCATGACGTAAATAGTGAAATTACAATAGAACGATATTTAGCCCTAGTGATCTAAACGAAAGTCGTAGAATACGTTAAACCGAGAGCGTGCATAAAAATAACGTCTACATCTGACTTCGTATGAGGAAGTTATGAATTTTTGAAGTTTCGGCTTAGCAGTATGCAACCAAAAGTTCGAATATGAGATCGAGTGATTTCTAGCCAAAACAATCTAAACGAGAATCAAAGATCTCGTCGATAGTAGTTTAACGATAAAAAGACAGACGAAAACGGACATCGGATGAAGAAGTTATGAATTTCTAACGGAGTTTTCCTGTCTCGGCCTACTAAAAATAATATAATCAAAATAAAAGTCAAAATTAGCCGACAAAGTCAAATTGAGAGTTGTAGATCATAATCTCACATACGCATGGATATAAAGAACGTCGAAAACGGATATTGTATGCAAAAGTTACGAATTTCTGAAGCTCAAGGCACGCAAACCGAGGCATATCAGAAGGGAACTCCCAACGTTCGGAAAGGGAACGCCCTGCGTTCGTATTGCTTGGCCTCAGATGGGCCACCTCTCTACTAACTCAAGCTATCATCAGATAAGAACCTCACCCCCGCTCCTACGCGCAACGTTCGGAGGAACGCCCAGCGTTTAGGGAACGCGCTGCGTACCGAGGGACAAACTCCTCCTATAAATAGGATGCGAATGCAGCCGAATTTGGTTGCTCAATTTCTTCTCTACTCCCTTATACTTTCCTATTTTTTGCAAGAAATACCTCTAAAGTCTCGGTATCAATCCCGACCCCCGAAGCAAGTCCCGAAGTCCCGAAGATCCCGAGAAATAGAGTTATCGAGCCGAAACTCTGCCCACGAGAGCCCGGTTTTTGTGAAGGTCTCTCGGTTTCACCGAAGAATACTACTTTAAGAACCGTAGTACTATTCAATAATAATCTTATCACATTAGTGTATATTCCCTTTCTTCTAACACATAGATATGAAGTATCTCCTATAGAATACGTGCTATGTGTATATTTATATGTAATATCTGTTTATTTGGAATGAGCATTGAATGAATATCTTATCAAGTTTTTAAGTTGTATATGAATGTATGTTTGTATATTTTTATCTACAATAATGTTGGGTTGGGAAATGGGTAGATAGTTGACGTATGATAAAATGATGAGAGGCCTCGATGTTGTTATTGATTCAGTCATCTAGCGGAGTTTAGATGATGATCACAGACTTTTTCTAGACGGTCTAGTGAAACGCTGGCAGGCTCGCCACCTGTAGGTGTTAATGAACTTGGGTGTTCATTTGTTGTACTCTATCCCCCTCAGGGTTGCCTTATTTGACATATATTGCTGGGAAATTCCGAAGCAAGTGTTGTCGCCCGGATGAAAATCCTTAGGCTAGGTCCCTTGTGTTAGATGTTTTAGGGACGTAAAGTGAGGATAACGGGAATGGGTAATTGGGTTATTGTTGGTTGATGAAAATTCATATGATTATTTATTGTGGGTTGAAAACCCTATATGCTCACCAGGCTCCCAAGCCTGACCCACTCAATTTTTCTTTGTATTACAGGTAGTGGTACCATAGCATAAGTTGGATGACTTGTTAGGATATTTTGGA